GACTTTAAATACATTTCAAATGAAAAATTTATTTATGGGATAAGCACTTTTTTAAAAAAAACATAAAAGAAAAAGAAAAATAGAAAAAAAAAATAAGTATTAAATAACCAAAACCAATCATAAAATTTGATATTACCAAATTAATTTAATATTATAAATTTCAAACATAAAAGATCACAACAAAACCACAAAAAATAGAATATATAATTTATCAAAATTAATTCAAAATCTGAAGAAAAAAAAAGTGCAAAATTTACAAATATAAAACAAAAATAACAACTCACGGTTCAATTACCTTTTGAATTCCTATAATAAAGGATACTCTAATCAACTTCACTCCCACATTTGCAGATTCCTAAATTTACTCAAAAATGATTTTTTATTTTAAATTTAAAAATTATGAAAGAAAAGAATAAAACTTACAAACCACAAAAAAAGTACTCCCACTTTCCATAACTTTTTCCTCATTGTCAATCATTAACGTTAACCAACTTCATTTCTTATGTAAGAAATTCTAGAACATATACAATCAAATGATGAACGAGAGAAAAGCAATAGGTAAGTATTCTTCATAATTTATATGAAAGAGATGGAGGCAAGTATTTGTCATACGTATGACACTTTTGATTATTTTATAATTTTACTTTTACTGAGTTTTATTTTTAGTGATTCACGATCTGCTTTGCTTTTTCATTTTCTTATTTCTTTCGAAATATTGGAGCAAAAAAAAATTAATCTTATAATTTTAATGTTCTTATTTTCTTTGAATATTAGGTTAAAGTATTATGAAAAACAATATTCATAGAGTGCAACAGATTAACAAGATACATAGAAGGAGATATATATAATTGTGGCACTGGAAAGACTAGCGGATGAAGGCTACATTTATTAATTCTCTAAAATATACTATTATTTATTCTTCATTTTTTTATATGTATCACTATTCATATTGCAAGAGTAAAATCAATATGAATAGTGACAACGATGGTGGAAGACTTGAGATGGTTAAAAAATGGAGATATATTTGTACTTTAGGTAATTATTTCTATTATTTTTTGATTTTTTTTTAAAAAAAAACTTGCATTTCATGTCTTTGTCATTCTTCACCCTTGATTATTTGGACAGTCTTATTTATCACTATGATAGTGGTTAGAAGGCTTAAAATGTGAGTAACAAAGTCCACATAATTTTTTTGGTAAAATATGATACTATAATTGACATACAATTTTTAGAAAAATTAAAAGATATATTTAAAATTTTGAATTCCATGTCTAAAATTTGACATTCAGGTGATTAAAACTTCTTAGTTTTATGCTTGACATTATCATAATAATAGGACTTTTTAATTACATTTTATTTTAATATAAGGATTAAATTTTCTTATATATTTATTATGCTAACAAGAATATAATAATAATTGTGAGAGTTATTTGTGACTTTGAATAATTTTAAAAATAAATAAGTTAAATAATACTAAAAATTATGGTCATCAAATTGAGACAATGAACTAAACTTATATATTGATTTATTTTCATAACTATTCTATTTTAACATGTTAAGGTGTTAAATGCTAACAATCTCCAATGTAAATTTTACAATATCATTTTATAGTAGGTCGAATTTTGATATTGTCATTAAATTAGTGTTTACAATTACATTATAAACTAACCGCGCAACGCGCAGGCACGAATACTAGTAACAATAACAATAATATAGTTCATACTAATCCAATTATCTTGAACATGTAATAATTATGTCGGAGATGTCAAATTTCTTCATCACTGCTACATCCATAGCAATGCTCTTCTTCTTGGATGAATTCAAAGAAATTGAAGATAGTGAAATTAAAAAAATAAATTGAACTCTCACCAATAAAGTAAAAAATCACTCAATTATTTTAATTATTTAAATTTTAGTCAAAAATTTATTTTTTGAGATTTCAATTTTAATCACTCAATTTTTAATTGCCAAATATATTTTTTGTTTTTATTTATTCTAGAACCACTTAATGTTTTTAATGTTTAATATTAATAAATTTTTTCCTTCTTCATTGTATCTTTTTTCAATGCAAAAATCCATTTTTTATTTTATCTTTGCATCTTCTAAAGCTTTTTTTTAGTTCTACCTCTCAGTGTAAAAAATATTTATTTATACTACTATTATTTTGTGCTTTCACAAATTTATTTGGTTAATTTTTTTTATTATTAATTATATCTTTGTAAATAAACAAATAATTTTATATAACTATTTTTAATAATATAAATAATCAATATCGAGATAAAAAATAATATCAAAATGTTAGAAATAGAATGAGTCCGGCAAAATTTTTTGGATTTTATATTTTTCATGAATAAAGTTATTTAAGTGGAAGTATAAAATTTGGAAGAATTGTTAGAAAAGAAACTAAAGTAAAAAAAGTAAGAAAGAGAAAAAGAAAACGTTAAAAGGTAAAGAGAGAAAGATGTTTGGCCATTTTTCTGAAATGGATCCACTTGGCAAAATATAAATGGGCCTCATACAATTTTTGTCTGCCACATCATATTTGTGCCTCATGCATGATAAATTTTTTCAAAAGTTGTGGTTTTAAAAGTATTAAAAGTGGTTTTATTTTTGAGGGTAATTTAGGTACACGAAATAAATGAATTTACCCAAACACCCTTAACTTTTCACCGAAATTACGAAAATACTTTGACTGTTGTTGCTCGTGTCATTTCGTGTCAAAAATTTGTCTTGCCAATTATATTTTCCGTTTCAGAAAAAAGAATAAGCAGAGAGACTGACTATATATAGTGATTAATTATTTTTCTGATTTTCTCTTATTGTACTCAATCTCCTTTGATTGGTTTTCATTTTCTGAGGAACATATAGATATGGATTTGGTTCAGTTCATTGGGTGAATTTGACAATTTATATAACAACTGTACAGTAAAGTTTTAAAACGATATTTGCAACAAAGGTAGTCTTTCAAAAGTGCTAGATTATAATGGAAAACATTATGCTATACTGTTTAATTAATTAATATAGCTATAGTTTATTAATTAATTAAAGAGATTTATTAAGTTTAAGAGATTAACTTCTCTCCACTGACAGTGGACAAGAAAATTACATTGTCAGTTCATTTTTAAAAATACTTATTTATTTGCCTAATTATACTCCATAGCTATTATTTTGTTTGCTATGAGTATTTATGTTTGGCTTGCCAATATACAAAAAGAATAAGTATATACAAAATTTTGTATTTATACATTTCGAAATTTTTCAGAATTTATACAAATAAAATGTATCAACATGATTATTATATACAAGCTAGGGTAAGAATATACAAATTCTGGATCTATACAATTAGGAAAATTCTGGATATATACAATTAGAAATCGAATTATACAACTTTTGGATTTATACAATTAGGAGCCGAATTATACAAATTCTAGACGTGGACTACGTAATTATGATTGTAAGTTAGTGGTGAATGGTAATTTAATCAAACTATAACTATGTTAACTAATTAACTAGTATATATTTGCTTACCTGCCTAATTTTCCCAATATTCAAGTCCAATTTTAGCTTAAGAAGGGTTTTTTTTTCCTTTTAACCAAACTCATTTTTAAATGTGAAAGTATAAGATCTCATAAGTAATTATTTAATGTACTCACACGATCTAAATCAAGTGCTTCGAGAATATGTCAATATATATGATACAGTATAAGTGAGACGGTATTTAAATAATGATATATGTGTTATATATATTTGTTTGAAAAAAATAATGGAGAAAAGCGTACACTAAACTCATGATCTATGTGAAACTAGCACAACACTCACATAAGCATAGAAATTACATTGACTTTATTTTATATTTCTATGTAATAAAGAAGAGAACTATTTTACAATATAAAATGTGGTAAAAGCATGATTTACCCTTTTTCTTTAAAATTTGGCATACCACAAATGTGCATTATTTCGAGAATTAAACATCAAACGACTCAATTAGTAGCTTATTCAAAGTCAATCTAACCGACCAAATAGGCCTATACCCTAGCACTTTTATGTATAATAGGAAAAAATTAGATAATTGTATATTGAATTAGCTACATCATCTCAAGCATGAATGGCTTTCCACATATTTAGAAGAGTTCTCCCTAATCAGGTGCATGTTTAAAGAAGATTTTAAGTTGATTAGGATTGAGGAATCAGTGTATACTTCATGTATAGTTAAACTATATTTAATTTTTTGAATGGATTATAATGTATAGTCACTGTATAGGTAAACTATACCCAATCTTTTTAGTGCATCATAATGTATAGTCAATATATACTTTTTATGAGTTTTGACCATTTTTATATAACTAAAAACATGGTTATATTTGTTGTAAACTAATTACTTTATTTTATATATTTGAACTATTTCTTTATATAAAAACTTAACAAAAATGAATATATCGATTAAATAGCATTACCGGTTACAAAAGCAACAAGTGCACCAGTGGTCTAGTGGTAGAATAGTACCCTGCCACGGTACAGACCCGGGTTCGATTCCCGGCTGGTGCAATTAACTTTTTTATTTTTGCTTTAATTACAAGAATTGCTTATCAAAAGTCAATTTGACTAATTTTTAAAATTAAATTAGCTTATGATAATTCAATATTTCAAACAAAAACTATAAATTACAGTTTTTTTGCATATCAATATGATAAAAAAATACATCATAAAATGTTAGTCAAATGTTTTTATAGTTTGACTCTAAAAAGGAAACTATGACAATTAAAAGTGGATGAATGTAATATTATATTGAGAAGATATTTACCATTTATAACAATAATTTTTTTTTTTCACTTATCACTTTGAATACATATTACAGAGAACAATTTATAAAACACATCTAATACAAGTTTTATCGATGGATAATAATTTATCACACATTTTTAGTACAAAGTGTCGATTTCTTACCAAACAAGCATAGTATATTTTAAAACAGTTATAATGCATATATATTACATACATAATTCACTTTTAATACATGTTGCAGATTTATCATAGTATTGTTATGTATTGCTATAAATAGCAAGTAATAAATAAAAAGTTTAGCTAAAATCAGTAATAATTTATGAGTAAAAGGTATCCATCCGAATAATTTATCCTATATCCTCCTTATAAGCCAGCAAAAGACCTAAGTTTCTCAATTATGGAGTCTATAGCAGAATGAGAGTTCTTGGTGCCTGTTAATGGCAGATGTTTTGGTGCTTCAGCTCTGTCAAAATAAAATGCTCCAGGAACCAACTTCTCTTTTGGTTGTAATGCCAACCAGATAACTGTATCTGCACCTTCCTCACTACTTCTAAGTTTTCCTTCAAATCTATAAAACATAAATTTCAGATATCATGACTATTATTAAACCAAGGATCATGTATCAAGATGATTAACTTACTTTTTGGAAAAATCTGGCAAACTCTTGGCTACTCCAGGCGTCTCGGCCCACCCTGGGTGCATGGAGTAGAAACCAACACCTTTATCCTTGTACTTTTCAGCCCATTTTTCTGTCAGTGCAATCTGAAATGAAAGATATACAATCCATTGAGTTGAAGGCAGCTTTGATGAACATGATATGGTTTCCTTCTAGAGAGTAGAGAGAGTTGTAATTTAGATGGGGAGCAAACAAGCAAGATACATGAACGAAACTTTCCTGATATACATTTGTTGATCGGAGGATCATTACATGTCTGTACATCCTGCTTATCGATACTACACCAGATACGAAGAAAACCACATACAAAATGTAGAGGAAGGGCAAATGTTTTGTCAAAGACCAAGTAGTAAATTTTTTTACTGAGTTCTTGAACATAATGAAAGGGGGAACTCTAAAGCTGTTTCACAGTAGAAAGTTAAAAAGGATTACTCCCTAGTCCCTACTTTATCGACGGTTCTCTTTAAAAAATTAACTCGCGGTGAAGGATTTTAACTGGGATCAACAAATCAAAATTTCAATTTGCTGTAGGATGAGACCGAAAAAAAGTTGTCTAGGAATGAGGGAGACAAAAGACCATAGCTATCAAAGATGAAAATACACATCTCTTAAATGATCATTAAGATATCAGTAGGAGCCTTGTTCTCAGCATATTCATAAGCTAGGTAAATGAAATCAGGATATCACTTCATGAAGAAAAGTCATGCTGCCACACACACACAGAGACACACATTCCAAGAGACTTATTAGTGCTAGTAAACTGGCATGCATATATGAGTCTGTTAAGTCATGTTGTCAATCCAAAGAGAGTTTGCATGAAATGCAGAGAGATTCATAACTTCAGTATCAAAGGCCAAGAAAACACCGGATTGTGTGAAGAGCGGTGCATCACTCAGAAAAAAAAGTACTCAGACCATACCTCAAGCACAGAATTTAAACATAAAAAAGATACTGAAATCACATAGAAGTATCTGGAAAAAGAATGAAGAAAACCTTCCAACCTTTGAATCTGACATTCTAGAGAAAGTTGTTATCTTTTTTTAAAAAAGAAAAGAAGAAGGGACTGAATAACAACACATTTCTTTATAAATAGGAGATTCTGGAGGGAGATTGTTCATGGAACTTCAATAAACTTCTTTGATGAAACTTCAAATATTTTAAAGCAAAATATTCTCTTAAGAGATGCAATAACATTATGCCAATTGTGATGAACCAGTACTTCTAGGTTTTTTACGCCAAGAGTGATATTTATATATCAAGGAGCAAACCTTTATGTTAAAAATAGGGGAGGAATATCACTTGCTTCTGTTGGATCTATAACTCAATAAAAACAGAAAACGACAAGCAGCATTTTGGAATAATGTTTACACAGACCATAGCAAATAGCTTAATGGAGGAAACTTTCAAATATAAGGCAGGTTCGTCATAGTATCATAAGGTAGACAAAGAGGATAGAAGAGGGAGATAGTCATTAAGCTCACGTCTATCATTAAAAACACTTCACTCTAACATAACAACATTACAAGGGAGGTTTTTATAGGTGCCAATAGAGTCTTCTAGACTCGCGCTTACTAAATGCATTGACACTAACATTATGAACTTAACCACAATGATAACTTACTTAAAAGCATGCACTTAGTAATTCTAGAATATTCAAAATTACTTTCCAACAACAATTTTCTTACAAGTACGTTTTTCCAAGACCATTATTATTTTACCTGAATTCTCTTGTTCCGAGCATACTGTACCACTCCATCAAACGTGTCACCACTAAACTGCAATATGGTTTATCAGATAATAAGTTTTCTAGCAAGATCAAGGTATTGAGAAATTGAGAATTTTTTTTTACCTGTAAATCAGTAGTCAATGGAGATGTGTACATTCCACCAGAGGAAACTGTGATAACACGAGCATCAGGTGCAGCCTTCTCTAGGAGTGGTAACAACAACTCAGTCAAGGTGTAAGTTCCAAGAACATTTGTAGCAAAACTCAGCTCATATCTGTTTTTTAGATTATAAAAGGATATCATTAACCATTGAACAGTCGTACAATGAGAGTTTTTATGAAAGCATTCATAAGCATTAAACATAAGCCTGCCTACCCTTCTGGTGTGATGACACGATTAGCTTCAAGCAGGCCAGCATTATTAACCTTTTCATATATATATGAAAAAAATAAACTGATCAAGAAGAATAGCAATCATCTAAGAAGATCATTAGATGGTGTCCAATGAAAATGTTCACAAATGAGAAAAGGTATAATACCAGGACATGTACAGGCACATCTTTTGAACAAAACCTGGAAGTGAAGGATTTGACATCATTGACTGATGAGATATCACAGACCTGCCAATTTTGAAACAGAAGTAACCAATAAACCGAACTTTAGAACATCGTCTCACACCAATTCAGATAATAGAAGCAAGAAGTACCTCCAAGTAGACATTTTTATTCCCCGTGTTTGAGTGAATTTTGGTAAGAGCAGCCTCTCCCCTCTCTTTATTACGGCATACCATGTAAACGGTCGCCCCACTTGAAACATTCAAAAGACATAGCTGTTAGTGATACCTGGAACAAAGTATAGTTCTTGAATTGATCTCTCAATGCCAACTCTCTGAGAAAGAAGAACTTAAGGTAAGATAAGCACCGTGAAGCGAGACCCTCAGCAGTTGCGAAACCTATGCCGGAATTTGCACCTGTGACAATGCAATTCTTTCCTTCCATTTGAACTTGCATATCTTCAGGCTTGAAATTCTTTGCATGTTCCCTAAATTCAATTATTGCCAAAGATTAACTTATCGTATCCTTGAAATTGAACTGGAGACTTGGAGCAACAGTAAAATTCTCTTGGTGGGACCTATATGTCACGGGTTTGAGCAATGGAATCATCCATTGACCTTATGACAAGGTAGGCTGCCTACATCACAACCCCTCTGAGTGAACACGGGATGCTCCATGCACGGGCTACCCTTTTTTTTATACTACCCTCATGACGTAACTAAATTCCTGTACCACTTTTCAAATACTTTCAATAGAAGGGGGGAAAATGTAACTTGATCACAAAAACAAATCAAGATTTTTTGCTAATCTGAGATCCATCCATTCATTTCTTAAACTTGACTCAACCCTCAAATACAGAATTAAATTCCAAGCTCAAAAGATTAAAAAAGCCTTTTTGACATACTTCATTTTTAAGTTATCCAAGAACAAGTTGCTCAAACAAAACCATTAGGCAAATGAAAATTTCCCACTTAAATTTTCACTTCACCAAATGCCAAAAAAAACAGGAATAATCAGCTTGATTTGCCTAGCCAAAAGTCAATATCCAAAGACACAGTAACCAGTAACAAATTAGTCATCATCCTAATGTATAATCAGAAATTCATAGACAGTCAAATCTGCTCATGCTGCAACTCATAAGCAAAATCTAAATGATGATTACTCTTCTATCAACATGTAGCTTTGTAAGCAAGGGAAGAGTAAGAAGCCTCCGAACTCAATAACTTTTGTTCAAATAGTGTCAAGAATATCATTAAATAATAAATTTAAAACTCAATTATTAGGATCGATGAAATAAAAAAATAATACATGTATTAGTCACGCTATTATCTAATCCTCTGTCTGGTAGGATTTTCATAGATCTATTGGTTATACACCCTATTCACTACTCACTAGGTCGTATAACTATTAACTAATGCATAAGCAAACTACTATATTAACAATACAATGGTTATTAATACATGAATAAGCATGATTAAAGACTGAATTATGCTTAATATACCAAATCAAATCGTGAATAAGAAATAATTTCAAAATAACTAATTGCAGCATAACTAATGCACTATGTTCAATACTATTGTTATACACTCTACAATTGTTCTAAAATTAATAATCCATAAAATTAAAATTCAGACTTTATTTTAATTAGGATAAGATCCAGACTTCAAATAAAAAAATAAATTATATATTCCACATAAAATAAGATACTTACGAAAAAGCAGATTTAGTGAAATTCATATATCCATAAAGCCCAAATACCGAAGCTCTCAATGTCTGCATTTGGAACAGTAAAAATAAATCAAACCAAAATGTAAGAGAGAGAAAAAATGAAATGAAAAAAAGGTGTCTACCTTGATAATAAACATGATGAGATCGCAAAATTTGAATTTGAATTTGAATTTTCAGCAATGGATTTTCATCTTTATAGACTTTTCTCTCAGAGTTTACATGTCCCTATTTTGTTACTTGGCTGGTCTTCTTCCACGTAAACAGTGCCGGCTCAGAATATATAAGAAAAATAAGGGAAAATGACCCTGTTTGTCATTCTGGTTCAATAATTATATTTCCTACAAATATTACTAAATTTTTTTAAAAACAAAATGCTTATAAATTACTCCTATTGTTTTAAGAAAAAAAAAACGAGGCCCTTAAATTAGGGGGCCAAACGCAACAGTCTTTTTTGTTAGCCTAGAGAGTCGTTTATGCACGTAAACCTATGTAATTTTATTTAATTCCTTGCACCAAAAATAAATTGTTGTATTTTTTTTTTTAATTTCAGGATAATCCATAATCGTTATAATTTTTGTCATACCCTCCGCTATTTATATGAAACAAATTATATGAAGACTTTATCCACAAAAAAAAATGAAATCCAAAAACTTCAGTCTTACTAATTTTGATATGAGCTATATATTTTTAAAATTTGATACAGTTTGATTTGATGTACACTCCTGACTTAAGTATATCACTTGTCACATTCGATTGTCAATGATAAACAATAATCTTTTTATCTTAATTATGTGACATCATTCAAATTTTGAGATTCAATTAAGTCTATCTTTAATCGTAATATTTTTATATATCTTTATATATATATATATATATATAAAAATGGGGTAAGGAATTACATGGTGGGGAATTGAACCCTTACCAATAAGGTGAAAATTTGGATAGCCAATTAATTGGGTTACTAAGATTTTATCACATATAAAAGAAGTTCACAAACGGTGTGGGACTTTTGCTTATTTAAGATTGTGTATATCATACGTCAAACCAAATAGATAATGTAGAGTAAATTATTGAAGAAAAAACATGCATTAAGCTCACACTATACACAAAATCCGAAAAGGAAATTACATTGAGTGGAGAGCAATTTGTATTCAAAATTTATTTTATAATGTGAAATCTCGTAAAATGTTCATTAGGTTTCATGTCACCATATGATTAAAAGTAACTCTTTTAGCACATATAGTGTTTAAAGTTTTGATGAAATAAGACTTACCTAGCATGTGAACACAAAGATTTTTAACAATTAAATAAAATAATGACCAAATGGTAATCAACAAAGTGCACCAGTGGTCTAGTGGTAGAATAGTACCCTGCCACGGTACAGACCCGGGTTCGATTCCCGGCTGGTGCAATTATCCTATTTTTAGACTAACCGAGTAATCATTATTAATAGCTACTCCCTCCATTTAAAAAAGAATGACCTCCTTTCCTTTTTAGTTTGTTTAAAAAAAAATTACCTCTTTCTTTTTTTGGTAATATTTTAATTTCAGTTTTCCACATGGCATGTTTAAGGTCACAAGATTAAAGGACAATTTTGTACATTTGACATAACTTTAATTTAAGACCACAAGATTCAAAAGTCTCATTTATTTTCTTAAACTCCGTGTCAAGTCAAACTAGGTCATTCTTTGTGAAACGGAGAGAATATTACTTATTTAGAAAAATCTAGCAAACTCTGGCTACTTTTTAGACTAATAGTTATTAAGTACTTATTTAGAAAAATCTGGCAAACTCCTGGCTACTTTGGAAAGGAAGATAGAGTAACCAAAAGATAGTTATTACTCTTATTTAGAAAAATCTGGCAAACTCCTGGCTACTTTAGGAGGGAGGATAAAGACAGTTATTTTAAAAAAAAACTGGCAAACTTTTGGCTAATTTAGGAAGGAGGATAGACCAACCGAAAGATAGTTATTACTCTTATTTAGAAAAATCTGGCAAATTTCTGGCTACTTTAGGAAGGAGGATAGACCAACCGAAAGATAGTTATTACGCTTACTACTCTTATTTAGAAAAATCTGGCAAACTCCTGGCTACTTTAGGAAGGAGGATAGACTAACCGAAAGATAGTTATTACTCTTACTACTCTTATTTAGAAAAATCTGGCAAACTCCTAGCTACTTTAGGAAGGAGGATAAACTAACCGAAAGATAGTTATTACTCTTACTACTCTTATTAGAAAAATCTGGTAAACTCTTAGCTACTTTAGGAAGGTGGATAGACTAATCGAAAGATAGTTATTACTCCCTCCGTCCACTTTTAAGAGAACTTTGACTAATATTTTACGATGTATTTTTTCATCATATTGATATGCAAAAAATTGCAATTTATAGTACTTTTTGTATAGTTTTTGAATATCTAAATTTTTTTGTTTAAAATATCGAATTAATATAATCTAATTTAACTTTGAAATTAATTAAATTGACTGTTGAAAAACACAACATGACAATTAAAAGTGTACAGAGGGAGTACTTACTTAGAAAAATCTTGCAAACTACTCTTGGCTACTCTAGGTGTATCGGCACACCCTGGATGCATGGAATAGAAACCATAAATCCTTGTACATCTCAGCCCATTTTAATGTCAATACAACCTGAAATGAAGATACGCGCGAATCGATTGAGTTGATGGTAGCTTTGATGAAACATGATATAATTGAGGTGAATTTAGAGGCAAAAAATAGAGCATCAGATCCCGTGGTCTATTCGTAAAACTAGATATTATTATGTATATATTTTCTAAAATTTGTATAATATTATGCTCTAGAACTCATACTATAAGAAGGCTATGGTTAAATGTTAAGCTTTTGACCTTGAGGACTAAGGATCAATTCCCACTTAATACATTTTTCTTGGTGCACCAATGTTTGAAAACTCCTAGATTTGTCTTTAGCCTGATATATATACCTTTCTTGATTTGGAGGATCATTACATACATGCCCATATTCTATTTTTATTGATTTGGAGGAAATTCACTTGTTTCTCTTGGATGATCTATATTTAAATCAATAAAAATAGAATAAATTAGCAGCATTTGAGAATAATGTTTACACATTTTTCATAGCAAAACCTAGCTTAATGGAGGAAAAATGGAATATGAGATGAGCTCTTCGTGATATATCAACGCACAAGGTAAAAGAGGATCTGTGCTTCGATTAGCGCATAAGAGTTTACACCAAATCATGTAATGTAATGATGTGAGAATACATAAACAATTCTACTATAAGTATTGTCAAACAATATTGGGGACATTTCTAATTTGCTGTACAAGTGGCTTCATAAATTCATGCTGGAAAAAGCCCAGACTAAGAAGGAAGACTACAAAAATGAGCTCACTCACTTACAAGTCTGAACAACAAACAATATACAGTAAACATGCATCACCTAATTAAACACAATATACAGCCTGCCTCAAGAGTGAAGAATAAAAAAATCAAAACAATATATGCAGAACCGTTACTCATGAAAAATCGTGAGTCCTGGAAAGTCCATCTTTCAGCCTCTTCAACTGTCCCCTAGGAGACATCTTTTACCGCATCCAGTAAGATTCACCCTATTTCAGTAAAAAGATAATTGTCAAAAAGAAATGTTAGAATCTCTAGCTCTCACCATTGACTGGCAATTACTATCAAAAGCAATATACTTGTCAACATTGATATTTCAAACAAAATATAATTATATAAGAGATCGTAGGATGACAGCTCGCTTTCTTGATTGCCATTGAACATGCATATACTTGCATGGCGTTTTCTGTAGTACTGCTAACTTCTTATTCTTTGTACTCGAAGTCAAAGTCTAAAGATGTTCTTTACTTATGATGATAGCTTTCACTTGGAAGACAACTACATCTACAACTAGCTAGTATCTCAATATATAACTGATTCTCAAGGCTGGCTTATTAGATTCATGTAACAACTCCGACAAATTAGAACATGAGAGAAAGTAAGGGAAATTATTTTTTTGAAGACAAAGGGTTTTGACAACTGCAAAGATTTTTTGAGACGTCCGTTATCTTTGGAATTCCAGTCTTTTTTTTTAATACCTAGCATCAATACACTTTTCCAAATATCACAAAAACTTATACCATCATAGGGGTTGTTAACCTTTATGCCAGAAATAATATCAGATAATAGACTGTCAAAATACCAAATTGACAATGCCAGGACTAATGTAGTTTTCTGTGAAATCATTATATTGCATCCAAAACTGTAACATTTTCTTTCCACCATATTCTCTTTCTAGTTTGACAACTCCGGAAATTTTAAATAGCATGGTAACATTGCCTCCCATATATATATTAACTACACCTCTATCCTAAAATAGTTGGCGCAACTTAGATTCCAAATATTTTGTTCAACCAATATGGATGATAGCCATCTCATATAATTTCAAACCCTCGAGCCTGCAAGTTAAATACTTGTACAAAATCACTCGGGAGTTAGGAGACTATTACTAATAGAAATGACTCCCTTGGGTATGATGCTCACTGGCCCTATATCTACTTCAGTGACGAGATTTGTCCAAAATGAATGCACCAAAAGGAATTATGCTTTTGAAAATTAATACATATAATTGGAAAACAAACCTGGTCTGATATGAATCGGCTCATTCCATTCTCCAATCCCATATTTGTGACAATTTCCTCCTTCGCAATTTCCGCATCAGTAAGAGTGAGGGCCCGTTGCAACTTCCTTGGGCTAAATACCTCAACCTCTACCATATATGTGGCAGAGACAGGTCGATGATCTGAAAACTTGAGTTCAGATCTCCCGTAACGCAACTGCCTTATTCCCTTCCCGAATGATAGGATTCGATCACACCTGAGAAACAAGAAATTCAAATGTTGCAACTAAATAGTATTGGTTGTAAAAGGACTGGTAGGCGAAATTCTCAGTGTGCATGAAGATTCAGTGTCAAGGGGGCTTACAAAAAGTTCAACCCTTTCAATACCCAGATTAATGGGTGGCCCTGGAAAATGATTTGGAAAGCCAAAATTCCCTACAAAGTGTCTTGTTTTACTTGGCTACTTGCTAAACAGGCTGTTTTGACTCAGGAAAATCTCATGAAGAGGGGTATCCAATTGAGCCC